TATTCTGTCACCCTGGGTAGAGTGCCCTGGCATCATAGCTCATAGCAACCTCAAACTCTTGGGCTCAAGAGATCCTCTTGCCTCAGCTTCCCAAGTAGCTGGGTCTATAGGCACCTTCCAGAATTCCCAGCTTTTTTTCTATTTTTAGTAGAGATAGGGTCTCGTTCTTGCTCAGGCTGGTCTCAAACTCCTGAACTCAAGCAATCTACCCACCTCAGCCTCCCAAATTGCTAGGATTACAGGTGTGAGCCACCACACCTGCCAAACTGGTGATTCTTTTTTTTTTTTTTTGAGACAGAGTCACTCTTGGTAGAGTACCGTGGTGTCATAGCTCATAGCAACCTCAAACTCCTGGGATTAAGTGATTCTCTTGCCTAGGCCTCCCAAGTAGCTGGAACTACAGGTGCCTGCCAGGGCACTCGGCTATTTTTAGAGATAAGGTCTCACTCTGGCTCAGGCTGGTCTTGAACCTGTGAGCTTAAGCAATCCACCTGCCTTGGCCTCTCAAGTGCTGAGATTACAGGCATGAGCCACCACGCCCAGCCCCAAGCTGGTGATTATTAAATTCAGACAAGTTTAGGGAGGAGACCCTAAGACCAGAGGATTACAACCCAGAAATTATTCCAGCTAGATCCCTGGTATCTACAGAAGCAATGAGGTGACTATCTTAGGGAAATGTGTGAAAGATGAGCAGGTCTTCTCTGGGGCACAGTAGGGGCTTCACACAAAGGTCCTGCTGTGCTACCTCATCCCAGGAAGTAGGGCAAATTTTGTACATGTTATGTAGGACTCCAGGTGCCTTTCTCCAGCCCATAAAGCTGCTATGGGGTCTGTCCTTGTCTGCACAGAACAAGAGTTTAAGGCCACACTTTTAGCTCAGTGCCTGTGGCTCAAGTGGCTAAGGTGCCAGCCACATAAACCTAAGGTGGCAGGTTCGAATCCAGCCCGGGCCCACCAAACAACAATGATGGCTGCAACTAACAAAAATAGCCAGGCGTTGTGGCGGGCGCCTGCGGACCTAGCTACTTGGGAGGCAGAGGCAGGAGACTCGCTTGAGCCCAAGAGTTGGAGGTTGCTGTGAGCTGTGATGCCACAGCACTCTACCCACGGGGACAGCTTGAGGCTCTGTCTCAAAAAAAAAAAAAAAAAAAAGCCACACTTTCCAAACTGTGTTCCTCAAGAGTCAGGGTTCAGGGGGGCAAAGGGGAGAGGCAAAAATCTACCTGAAGAGTACCATGAACACTATTTGGGTAAAGGGCACAATTAATAGCTGTGACTCAAGCATTACAAAAGAGATCCATGTAGCCAAAAACATTTATATCCCCTTAATATTTGGAGGGAAAACAGGGTTCAGTGGAAGTATCTTGGGAAACAAAGGGAGGGAGACACATATTAGACACATCTTTCACTTTAGCCAGAGCACTCTGTCTAAAAAAAAAAAAAAGAAAGAAAAAGAAAACTTGAAGCTGGCCCAGGGTGAGACAAGTTAGCATGTGGAGAAAAAAGGCCCTTGAGAAAGGCTGGCTGCCACTCTGTTCCTGTTCACTGTTACTTTGGAAGGTGGGACAGTGTAGCTGGATCTTCCAATTTTTCAAGCAAAGTAAGAACCCACTGGAGTTGAGATTTTTGTGAGGACCTAGGCACTGAGCCAGTCTCTCCAGGTTCAAATCCTGGCAATTTACTTAATTTCTTTTTTTTTTTTTTTTTTGCAGTTTTCTGGCCAGGGCAAAGTAAGAACCCACTGGAGTTGAGATTTTTGTGAGGACCTAGGCACTGAGCCAGTCTCTCCAGGTTCAAATCCTGGCAATTTACTTAATTTC